GGTCAGAATGTATTCCCCTTGTACTATGAGGCTATAAAATTCTGATCTGAGTTGATTAATCAATCTCCCAATATTTAATCGGAGAATTCTTCAAGATTACTTCCTTGGAGAGTTCTACATGAAGGGTGGTGAGTTCCTCTTCGGTCAAGTCCTTGGTGACCTTGTTTTCTAGGTTGATCTCCTAGAGTATCTAGCAAGCTCAAGTTCGGCCGATGTTGTAGATATGATGCAGAGAGCACTCGATCCTCTTGTCTTGGATTTCAACGCCCTCAACAAATAAACAAACCCTAAATAAGACGAAGAGAAAATGGAGAGGGCCATTGATACTTTTGGAGATGCTTGAGTATGAAACCAGAGAGTGTTAGAGAGTGAAGAAAGGTCCCCTCCTTTATGAAGCAGCAAAGAAGAAGATGCAAGCGGTTTTGCCATGGCAACACCTTGAGCCATTTCTTCTCCCAATCTCCCTCTCTGTCTCGTTCTCTGCCATGGCCAGACCTTGACTAATTTCTTCTCCCAATCTCCCTCTATGTCTCCTTCTCCTCTGCGCCTACTGCTGCCATGAAGATGTGATCGGTGCACCATATCAATTCAAAAGTCTGCCGCATTGGATGCCACATTAGAGTCACTTCATGTTACCATTAGTAGCTATGAAAACAAATGCATTTAATATTTTTTTAGACCACGCCTTTTCGATTTCTAAAGTATGGTTATTTTCTCTCTATTTTCGAGAAAATAGAACCAAATAATCAGTCATTTTTTAGAGCACCATTTTTTCTCTTGTGGCACTGATGTTTCACTGTTTTCTGGGAAAATGGCATCAATGCCAAACACCGATGATGCAGATGGGCAGTCCTCTTAAAACCGCCAGTTCCAGGTCGGTTTTAAAAACATTGATAAATATTGTTTTTGAATGAAGCTGACCTATGCTGGTAGTCATTATCGCCGCCATAGGGGAGTTTTGTAATACAATGTACCTCTGGTGGTCTAGTTCACTGGCTTAGTCCACCTTACATGGTCTGTCTCATCAATTTTGACCGCCATGTTTGATATGTAAGTCAGTGATTCCGATATGAAGTTATGAACGACCATCTTTTGTTACACTCTAAACCAGCATTTCAGTCCTGAGTTCGGCTTCTGTCAGGGCATCGTTCGAGTAACCCTTGCAGATTTCACATCTTTGCCCCATAAGAATCTGCCTCACAATGCCCCATAGCACATCCCCACCATATATTGGGAACATCTCCCGATGATAGTACCAGTCTTGATGATGTCAGCATCGAAAGATGTTCCTAATACATGGCGGAAATGTGTTGTTGGGCATTGTGGGGCGGATCCTTGTGCGGTGGAGATGTGATCTCACCCTTGCAACCTTGCATTGGGAATATCTTCCGTAAAATAAATCATACAAGTATGGAGATATTCTCAACGTAAGGCCTGTAAAGGGTGTTGGAACGGGCTTTTCCTTGACCAAAGCCGGACTCATCACTCCTGAACTAGGCTAACATTGTCTAAGCCACTAGTGGCTGCAACTTGCAAGGTCTAGGGCAGAGGTTTTAAATGCTAAGCCGGTCGTTTTGTGATTGCGAATTTTCTTGTAGTGGTTGTGGGCCTTACGGCTGAGTCAGGATTTGTTCCTCACAGAGCATGCCTCACACCGACCTCACAAAATGTCTTGGTCATACATCGGGAACATCTCTCGCACTTGTATTTATTATTCATAGGAAGATGTTTTCAATACAGGGTGGGATCTAGCTGTGAGGTAAATGTGAGGCGTGCTCTGTGAGGAGAAGATCTCCATTACTTGTGGCATTATTCGATCAGGATCTTCTCCTCATGGAGTGCTCCTCACACCAACCTCACAACTACATATATTCCATTGTGTATAAAGAACATCTCCCATGAATAATAACATACAAGTATAGGAGATGTTTCCAATGCACAACTGAAACATGGTGTGAGGTCAGTGTGAGGAATACTCTGTGAAGAGCAGATCCGACTATCAGTTTTTGAGTTGACGGTTTGACCCCACTTCCAACTTAAAAAATAAAAAATAATTAAAATAAAAATGGATCGACGGTTTGACCACCCAAGTCAACAAGTTATTAACAAAAGGGAAAATTCTTGATTAGTACCCTGTACTTTGGGCCTAGTGCCACTTTGGTCCCCCAAACTTTAAAATGCGACAATTCAGTACTCGAACTTTCAAAACGTGACAATCTAGTACCTGTCGTTAACTAGCCGTTAAGTGGCATTTGAAAAGACACAAATGCCCTTGAGTGTTATCTATTTTTTTTTTTTTATCAACCATCCAGATATTGACAAAAAATTAACAGTCCCAAATCCTTGTCTCTTCTATTCAAGAAAGTTGGGATCACTAGAATGCCCGCACAAACGTGACCCCAATTTTCTTGAATGGAACAGACAAGGATTTGAACTGTTAATTTTTTGTCAATGTTTAGATGGTTGATAAAGAAAATTAAATGACACTTGAAGGGCATTTGTGTCTTTTTTAAATGTCACTAACGGTAGATTACCATTTGATTAACAACAGGTACTGAACTATCATGTTTTAAAAGTTTGGATACTGAATTATCGCATTTTAAAGTTCGAGGACCAAAGTGACACTAGGCCCTAAGTACAGGATACTAATTGAGAATTTTCCTTTCAATGGTTTTTGGCCAAATTGAGGATGGAACAGAACCAATTGCCAGGACCACTCCCAGCCGAACGGTTCGACTGTCTGGATCAACAATGGTTCAAAAACACTTCAAAAAACAAATCAAAATTATGGTTTGAAAATAAATTGTTTCTCAAAAAAAAAATCACAAAAAACATGTTCTTGAATTTCTTGTTTCAAAAACATGTTTTCATCTGGTTATCTAATATCATGTTCTAAAAACAAAATTTAAACAAAAACATTCATGTTGTAAAATGCCCCTTAATTGTAAAATAATGATGTTTTGCTAGTGTTAAAGCACCTATTGTGCATGTGTGCAATAAGAATTAACCAAGGCAAATATCCGCTTTATGTAGTATTAGGGCTGTTCATAAGATAGATCAAGCCGTCCAAAATGACCAGCCTAACCCAATTGGACTCGAGTTGGATAGTTTTCAACTATTATTGGTTGGCCTCAGTTCATGCATTATGCTAATCCGTGAGGTTGGGTCGATGTAAATCAACCAAAACCAACCTGACCCGACCATAGATATATATACATTGATATTTTATATTTTAAATTTAAAATTTTAATATGAAAAAGTGGGAAATTCCAATGTTTCTTAATTTAAAATATTTTATATTTTAAAATTTAAACTTTTAAATTTATTTTTTAATAATTCCATTGCAATTATTAAGTAACTTTATTGTTTTAATTTTTTATCCAATCAAACCATGTTTTCTAGTTTAACAAATTTACAATCTTATTAAACAATACCCAAATATATTCAATCATGTTTAACCATATTTTTAAAAATTCATACTATATTTTATAACTATATAGGCCATGTCAACAGCCCTCTCCTTGGTCCATTACCCCAATCTTAGATTCTCCTTAACTCTCTCTCCTTCCTCCCTTACCCCTTCCCAACCCTTCCATGTAGCCATGTGGCAGTCATCTCCTCTTCACTAGAGTCCCACTCCAACTTCCTCTCTCATGTTTCTAATCACTTAGCCAACCCCCCAACACCTCTTAATATATCTTACATGCCCAATCTAGCCACATGGCACCACTATCCCCTATTTTCTCTTGAATTATCTCTTATTATTTCTAATTCTTACTTCTCTCCTAAATTTTCTCTAATTCAAGAAATACTTTCTCTCCTAAATTATCTCTAAATCCTATTTATCCTCTCCCCCACTTTTCATCTATATCTATATAAAGAAAGTTTGAATTAAAAATTTTAATAATTATTTAAATATCATAACAAAATTATGTAATAACTTTCAAATATTTATTAAAAACAAAAAAACAATTATAATAGATTTAATAATGTTCAAATTATTAATAATTTTATATTTTTATAAAATTCATAATGAAATTATGTAATAACAATATAAATTATAATTTTACGAATTAAAATTTTCAGTAAACAAAGTAATTTAAATTTTATTTAAATGATAAATATTTAAATAACAAAATATTAAAAATAGCTAAATAATTATATAACAAAATATTTAATATTATGTAATGACTTTCAAATAAATAAAATTTAAATAATGAAACAATTTAAATATTCTATTGTATTAATTTGTAATTATTATATTTATTATATTTTTATTATTTATTTATTATATTTTGTTAGGTTGAGAAATTGTTGAACCAAAATGACCAAAAATACTAGAAAATAGACCAACTCGGGTCGAGTCGGGTCATGTTGGTTGGTTTGGTCAACTTTATCGATTCGATGAACAACCTACCTGAAATTAATTATTATTATTTTTGTATTGCATAAAAGTTATTAAAAAATATTATATAAAAATAAATAATTATTAATTATTTAGAAAATTAAAATATAAAACAATTATATATTTTTATGTATTTCTATTATTTAACTTTTGCTTAACAAAACCATTCCACAAGTCTCCACTTATATTAGTATTAATATATAGATATACATCCATAGATACATACGTATATAAGTGAAGATATCCAAGGTGTCCGCCAACGGGGTGAAAATTTCTCCATCCCCATCCCCATCCCCGCCCCCATTTAGGGCATGTCTCGGCGGCCCCTATTTAGACGGGGATGGGGAAACGGGGAAATTGCAATCCCTATTTCTCTCGTATATTTCTCGTATATTTTCTACCAAAACCAAACACGAGTCGCTGTATGACGCAAAAAACGAATAGCAACCAACGGTTTGGTAGGCTTGAGTTTGTCCACGTGGACGTCAACCAACGGCTAAAATCCATTCAAAACCCACGGTGGTACTGAAGCTTCAAAAGATGAGTGAACCACTCTCATGCAAACGAGACTATAAAATAATGAGAGAAAGCATCCATAAACCCACAATACACTAAAAAAATAAAGATATACTTCAGCTCAGTTCATTTGTTCTCTGTTCGTTGGTAATAGACGCAAGAAAAACTAATCGAGAAGGAGAAATTTGTAACTGTTTCGATGTCTGGTGCTGTTCTTTGGGTGGTGTCCCCAAAAGAAAATATAACCTCTGTGGTTAGATTTTTTGGCAGAAATGGTGGTGGGAGGAGGAATATGTTTGGGTCTTGCTTGAATTTCTCATCTGGGTTGTCGGTTTCCTCGAGTGCGGTTGCGAACCCGGCAAGATCTTCGGAGGAGATGGTCTATGAAGTTGTGCTTAAGCAGGCGTCTCTGGTTAGGGAACAGACGATGAGGAGGAAAGCTCTTGATTTAAGATCCCCTAAAGATGATATTCTGATGGATGGGAATCTGTTGAATGAGGCTTACGAGAGGTGTGGTGAGGTCTGCGCAGAGTATGCTAAGACATTTTACTTGGGTACTTGTTCTTTTAGCACCTTCTTCTTCTTTTATGTGCCTATTTCTCTATTTCTTTGTCTTGCTCCAAGTTCTGAAACTTGATTGCTGTTACTGATATTGAGTTTGGGTGGATTAACTGAACTAGTAAATACTAGAATATTCTTCGTTTACTGGAGTGTTTCTTTTGTCTTAGCTTTTGAAGAATTTGGATTTCCTTCCTTTTGTCTCTTGACTTTATTTTAAGCTATATATTTTTTAGATAGAAAAGGTTTTTTCTTGTGCAATTGCTTCTTTTTGAAAATAGAGATTTAGGGTTTTAATAATGAGAAATTTGATTTTTGAATATTGGATTTAGATCTGAAGCTGGGTATTCCAATTAGATTAACTCAAATCCTACTTTTCCTATTCTTTTCTGCTTTCTTGTTTTCCTTTTTTCTTCTTTGTGCAACTGGGAGAGCTAATGTCATGGAAATCATTTCAAGTTATCAGACTTGTACCCCTGGATAACTTCTCAAGCAAAAAACTATTCTTTATTTGAACTCTTTCATGTTTGTTAGTTCTATTCTTCTCTTTATTCTTCTCATTGATGTAAAGCTCAAAGAAATAGACCCAGAAAGTTATTTTGGAATGGAAAAGTCAAGGCATATTGGGTATTCCTGAATCACCAATGGGTGTCTGTGTGGTTTATTTGAAAGGAAAATTTGATTCAGCTACCTTTTCATTTTTCACAACTCAGATAACATGGTCAACAACATTGCTGTATTCTCTCAAATATAGTTTATTGATATTTTATTTGCATAAGTGCTATTTAAACTTGAACTCTTCTTCACTATATTTCAGGAACATTGCTCATGACTCCGGAAAGGCAAAAAGCTATCTGGGCAATCTATGGTATGCTCAGATACTCATTCAATTTGTAAAGGTGTTTATTTGTTTACTCATTCTCTTTTTGTTAATTGGTATTGTTAGCCTTTTAGCCTTTAAATATTTAGCTAAAATATTAAAGCAATGTTGGGACCATTATTAAATTTTACTGAAGCTTTGGTTAACATTATTTGTTTTGTAAGTCACAGTTCGTGCATTTATCAGAACAAGTGAGCAACTTTTGGGCATGAATCTCAATTTTGGCTATATCTATTAATTGACTACAAGCCCTATTCCAGTGGCTAGATTCTGCACAACACAAACCTGATGCCAGATACTATGGGGGTGTTCTTCAATACAAATTGTTTTTCTTGTTTTGAGTTCCAAAAACAAATTGAAACCATCTGGTTTGAAAACAAATTGTTTCTTAAAATGAAAACATGGATAGCATGTTCTTGGTTATAAATGTGTTTTTTGTTTCTAAAACTGAAACCAAAAACATGTTCTTGATTTCCTAGTTTGAAAAGCATGTTTTCTTTTAAATCAGACAATATATCTCATCATCTTTCATAAATCTCATAATATCTGTACTCCAACTTGTTCTTGGTTATGAATTGTTTTTTGTTTACTGAAACAAAACCAACTTGTTTTTGCTTCTCAAAACAAAAATCGAGTTCAAAAACATGTTTTTTTTTCCTTTTTTGCTGATGTAGCGAGTCCCAAAACAAATGAAAACAAACACTCATGTTGTAGAACACCCCCTTAGTTATTATGTACAAAATTCAGGTTCTAAAAGGACAGTTTTGAGAAGCATGTTTCCTCAAATATGAACACTAAATTCTTTGAATTGCAGCAATCTCAAGGTTCTATACCCCCAAGATTGCAATCAGAAAAAATATTCCCATTGTTGATCATCTCATTGGAATTACTTTATGCTATGCTACTGAATGTGTTGTCCCTATTTCATGCTTGTGGGATCTAGATCCTTTATAACACTAGTACTTTAAATGGTTGTTAATTGAAGTTTTTCTCCTATTGGCATTGGTGATATTGTTGTATAACCAGATTTTCCATCTTGAGCATAGCTATTGGTTGAAGGTTAAAGATTACAATTCTGACATTGTTAGTTGTATTTGCCAGTATGGTGCCGACGGACAGATGAGCTAGTAGATGGGCCTAATGCTTCCCACATCACACCCAAGGCTCTTGACAGATGGGAGCAAAGGTTAATTGACCTCTTCGACGACCGTCCTTATGACATGTATGATGCTGCTTTGTCTGATACCGTCTCAAAATACCCTGTTGATATTCAGGTGACTCCAAATTCGCAAGTCCAACAAGTGCAGTTTGGCAACATAACTGTGTACATTCATCTGTCTGTAGTATATATAACTAGTTTAAATTGATTCCAGTAGTTTCTTCTCTTTCAATAGCCCTTTAAGGACATGATTGAAGGGATGCGGATGGACTTGAAGAAATCAAGATACAAGAACTTTGACGAGCTCTATCTCTACTGCTACTATGTTGCTGGAACAGTGGGGCTAATGAGTGTTCCAGTAATGGGGATTGCTCCAGAATCAAAGGTCTCCACAGAGAGTGTTTACAACTCTGCTTTAGCCCTTGGGATTGCTAATCAGCTCACAAACATACTCCGGGATGTTGGAGAAGAGTAAGTTTCTTCTTATCTGAAAACAAAGCAGATCATTGTTGGATGAAGGCTTTAGTATCTCCAGATCTAAAAGTTTAATAAATTCAAATGATATAACAAATTTCATTGAACTCAAATGTTTAGTACATTCAACAACATTCAAACATGTGCACTTGTCTGTTTGCTCATCTTTACAAATCTTCACAAGTTTTTCCTTTGGTTTTTGGTGTATCAGTGCTAGGAGGGGAAGAATATACCTTCCTCAGGATGAGCTGGCACGCGCTGGTCTTTCGGAGGATGATATATTCCGTGGGCAAGTGACTGACAAATGGCGGAATTTCATGAAGAGTCAGATCAAGCGAGCTAGGATGTTCTTTGATGAGGCTGAGAAGGGTGTTGCAGAGCTGAGTTCAGCTAGTAGATGGCCGGTATGAAGTAAAACTTCTCTTACTAATGATTAGAGAAACAAACTGAAATTCCCATCAAACCTTGTTGATGTTTGTGCTTCAAATTTTGAAATTTTAGGTCTGGGCATCCTTATTGATCTACAGGCAGATCTTGGATTCAATTGAAGCCAATGACTACAACAACTTCACAAAGCGAGCTTATGTTGGTAAAGCAAAGAAATTAGTCTCATTGCCAGTTGCTTATGGTAGAGCATTACTGGGACCTTCTTCTAAATCAGCAAGGTTGGTGAGGAGATGAAATTCAGTTGTTTGCCACAAAAGGCTGGAAAGCAATTCTTTTTTTTTCCTTTCAAGGAAAGGGCACACCATTGTACATCAAGCCTGTTCTGTATACTAGCAGCTCATTTATTTGAAGAAATTGGAAATCTGTTCTGCTTCCAAATTCCAACTGGAAGATTGTATTCAGTATAGGAAGATGCTTAGCATGCAAATAACTTTTTCTTGCGTGGGACCCACCTGGACTGAGTTGCAGGACCCACTTGAATGAAACGGTATTCCAGATGGGTGGTGTGTGATGTGCATTTGTATGGTAGTCGGTAGATGACCAATCTTCCACCATAAATTTGGGATATTGCATGTGAGACCAATCTGTACTGACTGACCCAAGAGACACACAATTAGACCGACAAAATGTTCTAGATTTGTGTGTATGAAGCAGTACTTGGGTGAGTGGGTCCTATACCAAGAAAAAAAGTGTGCCGCTGGCATTCTTGAGAAAAAAATGTGGTGTACTTCTCTGATGGCGACGATTCATTGGATGGGGTGACTCATGGCATGGGTGAGTCAAGGCCACGTCGCAGAAGGCTTTCTTTTTCTTGTGTGTGTTTGAAAAAAGCCATTAGGCAACTTTGTTGCAACAAATTTCTTTACAGTACAGGTAACTGGTATTTTTGGAATCGAACCGGTATCACCAGTTTCTGGAAAACGAGTAACAGAAATTGAATCGAAATCGATCGATTAATCGGTTGACCGGTTCAGTTTGTCGATTATATATATTATATATTATAAATATATATATATATATATATAATATTATATTTTAAATAATAAATAATACATTATATATTATAAATATATTTATATATAATGCATATTTATTAATTTATAATATATAGAAAATATAAAATATATATAACATGTAGAATTATATGTATACTAGTCGGTTTAGTTAATCTGATTTTTTGTTCGGTTAATTTTTCAGTTCGATTTGTGCTTTGGTTTTTCTTGCTCACCCCTATTGGACATAAGTTACCCCTTAATCACTGAATTTCTTGAGGACAAATGTGTACTTTTGTCCAAATTCATATACCCTCTTAATTGTTTTATATTTCTATGGAATCTGGTAGGTTCAACCAAATTCATATACCCTCTTAATTGCAGGATTTTTGTGGTAACTGAATTGTTTATTGATTTAGCATTTTCATACATGTTTAATACAACAAAACCATTTGATAAAAATGAATTTAAAATGAAATCTATTAATTCAAAGATTATATATTAAAATATCCAAAAGACATTGTTCAAATACAATATCCAATTGACATATAAATAGTACAAGAACTTAAAAAAATAATCAAATTCTCTAATAATGCAGTATATCTTCTAATGCAAATCCACTTAGCATATTGGTTGAACCTGCAAATCAAAACATATAAATATTAGAATTATGTTCAAGTATTTTAACTATAAAGATAGGACTAGTAATTAAGCAATTAATTGGAATATCAATGGTAGTTCAAAATTCAGTTGATGTGAGTTCTTTACCTACTTACAAATCTTCAGACCACATGTAATGTAAGAAGGGCAAACAACATCAAAGGTGGGCGGATTCAGTCCTCGCAAAACTGTGCTCACACCGTTCTCACAGCCTTTTTCAGCCATTCATTGTGAAATCTTCAAACCACATGTAAAATATAAGGCTTTGCACTCCAAACTGAGCCATATATACACGTGTTGCTGCAGCAAGATCTTCCTTAGCCTTGGTTCCTGAATTACTCTTAAATGATACATGGTTTACACATCAACTAACTTGAATGACCCAAAAAAGAAAAGGAGGGTAATGTCATGATCAGTCACAGGACAAAAACTGTGTTTAAATTTAAAAGCTGGGCAGCTTGTATTGACAGGAAGCTTTTGAAGAAAACAGAAATGGTAAAAGGAAAAAAGAAATGAAATTGAAATAAAGATCAACTATATTGCAGGTTTCACATACATTTTCTGCAGAAAAAGAAAAAATCCATCAAACCTTTTTCAAAACAGAAACACTGATATAACCTTCTTCATGATATAGAAAATCCTAAGTAGGTTTCTCCAAAAGGGACCTAGCATTTTATTAATGCTATATATTTGTAACTTGGTTGAAACTGTGCTCCTCCCACCTACCATAGATAAGGTCATGGTGAACAAGCAAGAAACTTAATGAAATTCACACTACAATTACTATGGTATACCAAGAGTACTTCTTTCCTGAATGAAATTCACAAATGACATACATAAATGGTGGCTCTGGGGGTACTGGACATCTCCTTTAATGTATGGCTCAGAATGAAATTGCCGTAAATGAATTCCTAGAAAGTAGATGGGGCAAGGTATATCCTGGCCTTCAGTGGAACAAATAAGCAGGTTAAGATGAATAGACAATAAAATCAACACTATTTTGCAGGTAGGACAGACTCTTCTGAAGCTGATCGGGGATTATTTCCTGAAGAAAAGTGGTACTGGATAGCAAATGGGGCCCTTTTGGCATACAACATTTTCTTCAATGTCCTCTATACTCTTGCATTGGCATACCTGAACAGTGAGAAGAAAATCAATCTTAATTGGACTGATTTCATAATTAGGTTAATTTTCTTTGAAACTTATTTTCTCTTATTGTCTTTTCAACTCTTGGTATGGCTCAAATAACAATAACTAATGCTGGTGAAACAATAAATGGGAAAAACAGCCATATACAAGCTTCTGGTAGCCTATTTTCTGTATTGTAGTAAAAATAACTAACCACTGTACAAAGAATATTTGTTTTAGAATATGTGGTAGAAGGTTATATTCCAAACTTGAGTATACAATGTCATTGGCATGGCATTTTTCAGGAAAACAGAGCAAAACTGAGAAGAAAGGCATGGTCTTGCCAGTTAAACCTCTTTCCATGGAATTTGACAATGTGGACTACTTCGTTGACATGCCCAGAGTAAGTTTGCATGTGTTGAACCAATAGTTCATTATCTAATGGAACATTCATTAATTCTAGATTTAATAAGGACCTACTAATCTCTTTCCCATCTAATGGAACGCCATTGGATCAAATAAAAAAGAGAGTTTTCCTTGATGAAAGCAAACTATGGATTCATGTAACAGGAAAAAGATTTCTTAATCAGCAAAACTAACTATGTCTACAAGCATTAATATATTTCTCAACTCATCCCATTTATTCTATTGGTGCAGGAAATGAAACAGCAAGGGACACCTGGGGACCGTCTCCAGCTACTACGTGGAGTAAGTGGGTCCTTTAGAGCAGGTGTGTTGACATGTTTGACGGGAGTGACTGGTGCTGGGAAAACCACCCTAATGGATCATGGATGTACTCACTGGACAGAAAACTGTTGGATATTTTGAGGGCACAATCACCATCTCTGGCTACCCAAAGAAGCAAGAAACTTTTGCCCGATTCAGTGGTTACTGTGAACAAAATGACGTTCACTCTTCCAACCTTACTGTTAATGAATCTTTTCTTTTCTCGGCTTGGCTTTGACTACCTACTGAAGTGGATGTGCAAACAAGAGAGGTGAACTCCATTGAACCACTATCAAATTTTTATAGCAGACCTAGACAACTTCTATGAACCATTTATTCAATGAAACACAATCTTCAAATTTGTTATGCAGATTTTTGTGAGGCTGGATGCCCTAGTAGGCATTCTAGGTGTTACTGGACTCTCAATGGAACAAAGAAAGCGTCTTACCATAGCTGTTGAACTTGTAGCCAACCCCTCCATTATTTTCATGGATGGACCTACTACAGGTCTTGATGCTCGAGCTGCAGCAATTGTAATGCAAACTGTTCGCGACACAGTAGACACAGGAAGAACGTAGTTTGCACTATTCACCAACCAAGTATCCAAATCTTTGAGTCATTTGATGAGGTTTGATTTGCAAATGAATCATTCAACAAAACACCCAAGTTCAAAATTTTACACCAACTTTCAACTACTATCCCTCCTTATTTGTTGGCGAATTTGTTTTCTGCAACGGCTATTTCTTAGAAAACAGGGAGGACAAGTAATATATGCAGGTCCACTTGGAAAACAGTCACATGAGCTCATCAACTACTTTGAAGAAATTGATGGAATCCCAAAGATACCTCCTGGATATAACCCAGCAACATGGATGCTGGAAGTAACTTCAATAGCTTCTGAAAATTATCTTGGAGTAGATTTTGCAGAAATTTACCTTAATTCAACTCTATCAAAAAAACAAATCAATTATAGAAGAACTTAAAAAAACCAGTCCCTGGATCCAATGATCTACACTTCAAAACCAGATTCTCACAATCTTTGTGGGTTCAGGCGAAGGCCTGTCTCTGGAAGCAACATTGGTCATACTGGTGGAATCCGCAATACAACGCTGTCCGCTTTTTCTTCACTCTCATAGGTGCTATACTCCTTGGAAGCTTGTTTTGGAACATGGGAAGCAAAATTAAGCATCTGCCTCCACCAAAAACTAGAAATGAAAATCCCCAATTAACTACTAACTAATTTTTCTCACCCATATTGATTTCTTATGACTGGATGTGCCAGTGAAAAGCAACAAGATGTTTTCAATGCCTTGGGATGCATGTACAGTGCAGTTGTTTTCCTAGGATTCATATGCCTATGCCCAGGTAACCTGAATCTGCATAACTTATTTCTCTAGCATTTGATGACCAAGTAATCCCATATATACTACAATAGATCAAAAGTGATTATTTAAGTTTGGTACAAATTGTGAATCATACAGCTAATGATGGAGCTTCCTTATAACTTCGTCCAAGCCATCATATTTTGTGTAATCATCTTCGTCCAAATGAACTGTTTTGTTTTGGGGTGTCGGTGTTGTCAATTGAACTGAAAAATGCCTTCTCCCAGTTATATAGCTCTATGAATCCTGTTTTGCCCTTCCACTTTATTCAGTGCCTTTGGGGTGTTATCAGGTGATGACAGAATAAGAGAAAGCAGAACTAGAGAGTAACTCCTGGAAGATCCCAAGAACTTCTCACTTTGTCATTGTTACAAAATCTAACCCAAAAAACCCTCGTGTTAACTCCTACGCCAACAATAGAAAATGAGGTTAGATCAATTCAATATTGCTCACCCATTTTTATCCATTTCTAGCAAGAGTGAAACAAAGAAATTCGGATAAAATTTCAGGGTTGGAACATGTTTTTCTCTCTAATTTACAATGGCAATGTTCCGATTGCAGAAAGAAACAAAACCACACAACGGCCTGGCTTATTGTAATCTAAGCATA